TTACCTACTCTCAAATGGTTAAAAAGTGTATGTTTGAAGAGCAGATGTGCAGGGGCACATGGGTGGCTCAGTAGGTTGAGGTTCCAACTTCAACTCAGGTCATGATCTTGAGGTTGTTGGATTTGAGCCCCTCTCTCTGCAGTCAGTGAAGAAAAGCCCGCTTTGGATCCTTTCCCTGACCCTCTCTCGCTCATTCTCTCTCGCTCTCAAAAAGAAAGATTAAAAAAGAAGATACGCAAACAACACATTAAATGGGCAAAACGTAAACAATAGTTGAATCTATTGAGCTTAAAGGGGAAATCATTGTACTTTTCTTGTAATTTAAGTGAACTCTATGCCCAATGTGGGCCATGAACTCCTGACCCCGAGATAAAGAGTCGCACACTCCACCTACTGAGCCAGCCAGATACTCCTTATATATCAAAAATAAAAAGCGTTAAGAAGTACCTTGCAGGTTGAAGGCCTATATAAAATGCAGGCTATTTCTACAGCTTTGACTCCATTCACTGACATGACCTAGCTCTGGCCTTGGTGAAGTCTGAACTGTGATATTTAGCAGATAAATGTGCAAGTCACTGTTTCATCAATGAAAAGGGATAAAAATTTTTATTTTAAGAATAAAGCTTAAACAATCTGTTAGCAGCTTTTTAAAAAAAGTAAACTATGTATGGGGGCACGTGGGTGGCTCAGGTTGAGCATCTGACTTCAGTGCAATTATCTCACGGTTGCCGAGTTCGAGCCCGGCATGGGACACTGTTGTCAGCAGGCAGCCCGCTTGCGATCCTGTCCCCCTCTCTGCAACTCCCCCGCTCGTGCTCTTTTTCAAAAATAAACATTAACCTGAAAGTTTTATGCCCACCATGGGACTTAAAACTCATGACCCCAAGATCAAGAGCTTCATGCTCTACCAACTGACCTGCCCCACCAGGCGTCCCTGCATTAACATCTTTAATGGCATCAAAGAAATGTATAAACATTTAAATTTTGCTATAGGCAGTTTTTGAGGGTTTAGTAACTGAAAGTAGTTTCATGCAGCTGCTAAATTTCATCCTAATATGGAATCTCTCCCTATTTCTTCCAAATAAGATACCATGCTGGAGGACGGAGATTTGGACCTGAACCATAAATTCCTCTCAAATACTTCCTTCAGTAAATCCAATGCTTCAGTATTTTTAAGGATTTTGACAGAATGGGGCACGCTCTGCAGATTCCACGCTGTCCTTGTCCCACTACCACCGGTTGATCTAATCCTCCCACAGCCTGTGCCTGTGCAAAAACATAGGACTGTAAAGGTCTCTTGGGAGTCTGTCACGGCTTTCCCATGCCTTTTCCCTTTCATGGAAAGACCTTGGTCTCCCTACAACAGCTTAAATGGGCTGCCCACACTTAGTGATCCCGCCAAAGGGCATGCGAAATTTATCCATACCCTTCATAGTCCTGCAGCTACTCACTACTTTACCTTCCATAACTAGTCCCATCTTTATTTCAGATCTTTCATTTGCTGTTCCATTTGTCTACACTTCTTTCCTAAAAGCCTTACGACTCCAGGACAGTTCATGTCCCTATTAGGTGCTCTCATAACACCCAAAGGTTTATTCTTTAGCGATGGTTACAGTGATATAAACTTGAGGTCTCCTTTCTTCTACTGAGCTGTTAAAAATGAATGGTTTGGGGGCACCTGAGTGGCTCAGTCGGTTAAGTGTCAGACTTGAGCGCAGGTCATGATCTCACTGTTCAGAGCTCAAGCGTGCAGATAGCTTGGGGCCTGGAGCAGGTTTCAGATTCTGTGTCTCACTCTCTTTGCCCCTCCCCTGCTGGCGCTGTTTCTCTCTCTCAAAATTAAACAAACATTAAAAAGGGGGGATAGGAGGATGGTCTTGGTCACGTTCTGAACTCCCCATAGCTGGCACAGTTCTGGACAGTCTAAAATCAGCTTGGAATGTGCACTGCAAGGCTGAAACAGTTCAATTCTGCAAACCCTTCTGCATCGAAATATTCACCTATAAAAACACACGACTGGAGTGACAAATGGCCACGCAAAGTAAGAAATCCTGAATTTAAATACAAGATGTATAACTACAACCCCTACATATTCGGGTTGGCCTCGTCACCGTGGAGGACATGGATCTAATCTATCGGCCACTCTGACACTTTCTGCATCTCCGCTTTACTCTTCTCTCCATTCAGAAGTCCTTTAGGGGGTCGGGTGCTCTGGCTCAGGTGGTACTGACGCCAATGAACTCAACACTGCCCCAATACTTCAAATCACCATTACAGACATTTCTTCAGGATTTGGATCCAGACAGGAAGACACAGTAGCCAATGGCAGCAGTTCCCCAAAAATCCTCTTCAAGGGATCTGATCTGGTACAGGCAAAGGTAGAAGGAACCAAGTCACCGTGCCAGGCTGAGAAACAGCAGAGGCCAAACAGAAACAAGTGTAAATTCCCAAGAGGCCTCTCCCAACTCACAACGCGGCAGACTCTTCCTTCTCATTGTGGAATTCAGTTACTGAGTCCACAACCTCAAGCAACAGACACGATGCCATTTGACCAACAACTTGAAAAATGACGTGGACATCTCGTCTGTTAGCTCTATTGTTCGAGATTGTCATTACTTTTGCCTATGTCCTCATAACTGGTCTAGCAAGTCATTTCAGAAAACAAGTCATTTTAGGTTCAACAACGTACTGTTTGATGCTGCAAACACTGATGAGATCAGCTTACTCTCGATTCATCTTCATCTGGCCATTTTAAAAGATGAGAAGAGCACAAAAACCACCCTGTCAATGTATAGTCTCACAGGGTCTCGCTTCAAAGGGGACAGCAGATCGGAGATAAATTCTTGTTTAAGGACACTTTGCTATGTACCTCATATAGACCTACTCACAGTTTAATCACATGCTTATCTGTTTAAAAACTAACAAGGAGAAAACCCAAAACATGGCTATATACCCATTGGCTCAGGAAAGGCCTATGTCAGACCACTGAGTTTTCAGAAGCTGAGATGAAGAAAGTCCAGGGCACCCTTCTTAGAGGCCCTACGGTTCATTCTACCTGAGCCAGAAGAACCCATTCTCTGTATTTTCAGCAAATGTTAGGGAGAACTAGCTTATTGACTTGGTCTCTAAAATCTTTGTTTTGTTTTTATTATAATGGAATTAAGTTTATAATCATTACAGTATTCTCCACTTGAAACATTTTAATAGCACTGCAAGAACTAGTAGAAATAGGAAAATCTCTTGCTATTTGTTGATGGAAAGTAATAGTCAACGCAACCTCCAGAATCCCATTTGCAGGCCATAGGAGCCAGAGCACAACCGTATGGGAGGAGATAAGCAGTCTCTCCCTTCATATATATTCTTTTTTATTTTCTTGTTATACCTTCCCAAAACAGAGACATTCAACAGTAGTTAGAATGGCCATCTCCCAACATTTAAAAAAAACTGCACCCCCGACGGGTGAACAAAGTAGAGTAGTAACCTAGAGTTCAGCTGATTAAGCCACTGCGGAGCCTTAAGTGGTGAGGTCTTCCAATTTCAGAGTGATGTGTCTTCAACTTGTATCATCATTTTAGTGGAAAAACATAATTTACTTTTGGTGAAATGAGATTCATCTCCCGACAGGATTAGTAACAGCATTCACTGAATTTCACATTCTTCTTTTGTGAACTGTGAAGAAAATGAATGGTAGCTAGAAGATCAATGGGATTCCAGCTCCAGCTGCAGATGGAATGAAGATATATACCAGGACAAGAACACCTATATTTTGATTTACAAAGCTAACAGCAGTTTTAAATCTGCAACTTAATTACAGACCAACTACACCACAACCTTTTCAAATGGCAAAAATACAAAAAAGTTAAGTGTTACAAAAATATTTCAGAAAAAGTGCATAGTCTAAGTGCATAGTAAATAAAAGCACTGAAAAATATCTTGCTAGAGGGAGTTCAGCTCGGAAAAGTTATTACCAAAGCTAAACATTTTTATTTTACACAAACTATACTCAAAAATAGCTTTATGAGACTGATTTCTGGCTAAAAGTATCAAAGGGTTTATTAGTCAAGAAACAAATACCTTAACTGACATGGGTGGATAGAAAAGAAACAAGTAAGCTGCCTACCCCAAAAGTTTGCACTCATTAAGATGTCTGCAGTGGGAGGGTGCTAATATATTCTTTAATAGCAGAATGTGGTGAGCATGGAATTAATTATTGCTAAAGTAGATTAAAAAAAAAAGAGAGAGAAAGGAAAGGAAACAAACCTGACACAATCGGAACAAACCTGTCAATTTACAGTTTCAAGGTTATTTTACAAAATACCTACATTTACAACAGGCTCCTGGCAGCATTTTCAGACAAAGGTTCTTTTAATTAATCCTGACATGCTATAAATGAATAAATTATGCTATTTAAAGAATTACGGTCAATAAATTTTTCTTTCTATTGGATCGAAAAGAAGAAAGAGAAGAGCGCCTTTAAGATTAAGAAGAAGCGCACAGAGAATGTAGGGAAAAGAATGGGGCACGGGGAGGGCCAGGGATCACGGGAACCTCACCTGGAGGGATACTCTCCAAGATTAAGAACCAATCTGCTCAAAGCCAAATCAACCAGGAACTTAAAGAAAAGCTACAGAATGGCAGTTAAACCCTTTAACGCTTTCATTCTTCTGCACAATCAGTCCAGCGCTGCTGAGTATGAGACCCTGCAGGAGTCAGAACAAACACCAACTCCTGGCCGCGGCAGCGCTAGGCATTGTACGGGCAAGTCATTGTAAAAGGAAAAATAAAAGAATGCCTTTCCCCTTCAGGGAAAAAAAAAAAAATTTAAATAAAAAAATCGGAGGAAAAGTTGTAACACTAAATCTAAAATGAATCGCAAAGGAACTATATGTAACAAATGGCTTGAAGTAGTCTATTTAAAAAAATTGGGGAGATTTTGATTTCATGGTGAGTCAGCAAGGCATTTTTTTGTTGTTTTAAAAAAAATCTCATTTCCTTACAGAAACGGTTTTTAGTTTTTAATGAACTTGTAAACAAAAAAGCTCCCATTTCAAAATAAAAACAAAATCCCAGATCATATAGATGTTTACAGTGATTACATTTATCTAAGCAACATACATACATGTTCAGTTGTAAGATGTTAACTAAATTTCTGTGACAAATATGCTTTTTTTTTTTTTAATACCAAGAACATTATAGAGTTAATGCAGAGTCCTAAAGATAATCTAGTAGTCACTAAGTTTTTCTTAAGTCTTCACTTTAGATGCTGTTATTTCTAGCACAGGTAAGCAGGCAGAGTCTTTCGTACGCTCAAACACTGGAATCTTTGGTAGCTACCATATCAAGCCGGCTTGCAAACAAGAAGCCAACCATTTTAAGAATGTTTTAAGTGAACAACTTGCAAACCCCAGGGGTGGATAAACCCTAAGAACGCACAATTGTGAGCATTTACAACCTTCACAACTGTGGCTGAATACTGTTCATGCTGTTCTTCTGAAATGAGATCTCAAAGCAGTATAGTTCAAAATAAAAGATTTTAACAAAAATTGGCATATGCACAATTTCTCCACCAATTTGTGTGTGTCAACCATTTAGTGAACTTTTCCACTTGAAAAAATGCAATAGAAAACTGGACACCATGTTTCACTATCTCAGTTAATATTCACAATTACAGCGGCTACAACTCGGGACACGGCATCACCAATGCTGCCCAGAGCCAGTTTATACTGAAATTAAGTTCTTTACACCAAGTAAATGGTTGTTCACAACCACTGTCTAGTGTACATATGAACTAAAATTCCTAGATTTGGGGAGAAACAAATGCTGCTCCGATCATCTGCTCTGCTTCTTCTGTTCCTTGATTCATGCTTAGAAACCTGTTTAAAAAAAAAAAATTGAAACAGAAAAAAAGAATGTTAAAATCTCAAGTTAAAAAAGATTTTCTTAAAAACCACACCCAAAATTGGGTAATTGGGTGGAACTGGGCTAATAATTACTTTAGAATGGTGCCTCGTGTTATTTTCATCTATTTGAAAGTGACTGCTCATCTTAAAACTACAAACAAAACCTTCTCTGTTCTGGATGCCTTTAGGTAAGAGTGGTGTGCAGTCAATCAAAGCCTTCCCAGTCAGCATACGCTTCTCAGGCCAGAGAATTGTTGGGAATTCCAATGCGCCTGTTTTATTTATTTCTAGATTTCTAGTACCTAGAGCATACAATGTGTTCAAATACTTATCAAACTATGAAAAATAAGATTGCGTTGCCTTAAAAACTACAATGTATAGCTTTAATCATTGTGCAGGATTCAATGTTCTATGTGCAGGAACATTTCTGTACATTATTTCTGATACAAATGAGGAATGACAAGCTTTGATAACTAAATGTATTCAAGACATAACTGAGTTATCCCATAGCCCATAGACCCGGTAAGTATATGATTTTTATCACAGAAACCTCATACCTTTAAAAATGTTTTACTTCCATCAATTACATTAAAAAAGGTGGGCTTTGCACCGGATTGGAAAATCTAACCAAGTGAGGCGTTTGTTGTTTTTTGGCTTTATTTACTTTGTAAGCCTTCCCACCCTGTAAACATCACCCTCCTCTGCCACAATCAAGACTCCTAAGACGTCCACATATGGGCAGGTTTGAACAGAAACCAGCTTCAGGTCCAGCTTCAGGTAATAACAGCTGCATGTTCCCATCTGTGGCAAAAGGCCACTAGAGCAAACGCTTACCTCTATTACCTCCAAGTTTTATCTACGGCTCAAGGCAGAAAGGAAAAATGCCTATGACTCACCAAAAACATGAAAGCCCCATCAGTACCACCTCTTCTCACCAAAAGCCCTCCCTTGAGGTGTCCATGCCCCTTGGTTCACCCCCTTGCAAACCCCTAGAGCTGGCCTCATTACAGCTCTTCCTAGCCCACTCTGATCTCTCACTCGTAAATTCAGCATGGAAACCTGGTTTTTATTAATCATAAACTTCTCCTGTGCTTCTCAAACATTTGCTGGACCACCTCCAATGGGCTTTGGGATAAATGATATGCTTCTAAAATTTATGCTTTTCCCCCAAAGATAACACCAAACATTTAAATATCATTTTTTGGTAAATACGGTATCACTTGTTAACTAGGAGTTTTTTTCATTTGAGCGCAGAAAGTCATCTTCATTCATTTAAAAAAATACTGTGCTAAAACTCTGAGGACAAAGCAGTGCTGTACACTTCTTTCTCTCTATGTTGACTAACAGAGCAGGCACAAAATAAACCTCTGTTGCCTGCCCAAGTACTAAATTCATAAAGTAAATGCCAAAAATGAAAAATTATGAAACTTTCTGAAAACGATCTTCACCACAAGGAATATTATCTATTTGGTGTATATTACTAAAGAGAATTAGCAAAGTAAGCATAAGAAGAAAAGGCTGTCAGACCAAACTCGAATTAAACTTTAAAGTAAGACTGTATCTGTAACATAATTCCACAGTTAAAATACAGAATATTGTGAGCAAATTAAAACTACAAATTAGCTAATTAGAAATGACCCTTACCCTCACGAGCATTTGATTTCAAGTCCTGCAATTACTCTTAAATATGGTAGCGAAAAATGTTTACACAACTACTAAACTGTTTATCCCAGCTTGCTATGCAATCACATTATATTGAATAATTTAATTACTACGATGAATATCAAACAAGTTTAAAATAGAAACCACTATCACTAACTAAAAAGGAAACATCAGTTACATTGTGAGTTAAAATATTAGAAAAACTCTTGTGTCTTTAATAGGGATAAAAATTAGACCTAGGTTAAGAATTGTATCTGTTCATCTTTTAATCTGGTATTTGAGAAATTACTCGGTCCGTTAATGATTACAATTGCTTAGGAATCAGATAAAGGGTAGCCTAAAAATATTCCTGGTGGAACAAAGCAGTCAAACCAGATTTAACTCTTCACATTGGCCAATGGTAGGATACTCCACCCAGGGATCAATGTTTATCCTAAGATGTTACTCAAGTCTGTTTAGGAAAAATCTCAATGGGAGCATTCAGCGAGCATTCAACATTCAATCTTCAAGTGCTAAGCATTCTTTTTTCCAGTGTGCATTGAGTCCTTGGTTTTTATCTTGTAGTTTAGGTGGTGTCTCCTGGCTTCTAAAAGTCCAAACACCCATCTTCACTGCAACAACAGTTAAAATAAGGAATGGATCCCTCTGTTCCTAAAAAAAAAAAAAAAAAAAAAAAAAAAAAGAGGAAAAAGCAAAGTCAAAACTGAGTAGGACCATCACTGTAATCAGTGAGTTAATAGCTACATTTAAGTTTCTTTCAAATCTGCAAAAGGAAAAAAAAAATGTTTATGTAACTGAGATTCTACTTCTTTATCCAAAATCTGAAAAGTATATATTGCCTCTTATTTATGAATTCACTTCAGATGTCCCTGATTCTTTTTTTTCAAACTAGAACCACAAAGTAGTTCGAAGGGATATTTATGTAATAGTAAGTCTTGGAAGTCTGTGGTGGGCTTTATGAATTTTCAGTATCCTTTCATAGTAGAAGACATAACTTTTTAAAAGTAGTTTGAATAGAATATTCATATTCATGATGTAATGCCATCTATTATTAGTTAACATGCCCGTGTAGGTTGTTTTTTGTTTGTTTTTGGTTGCACAGAAATCATAATCAAACGTGGAGAATTCTGAATCAGGTTGGCACTATAAAAGTTAAAGAAAAAAAAAAAACCACTACAATAACTTTTCCTAAACTTAAAAAATGTTAGGAAAGATAAAGTAAATAATTTTTATTTTTATCACTACAAATGAGATAAATGATGACTTATGTATACAAGCTACACATGTTACCACCTAAACTACATTTAAAAAAATCAGACTGGTATCTCTCTTTTTTTTTTTTTGGTCTTCCCTAAGACAGAATTCTTAGGTGGTGGAACTTTGAAATACCTGTTACAACTGATTCCTCTCCCAACTGGTAGATGGTCTGCATTATACACCACTGAGTCATAGCAATGCTGTACTCCTCTAGGTCTTCGGACTGTTGCCGTATCACCCAGACAGTCTGACAAGTTCATGTTTGTTAAGTCCAGCCAGCCTTGGAGATGTGAGCTTCATTCAGATGACCACGAATCAACTCTTGCACACTCTTCTTCATTTCCCGTTGGGTTATGGAGCTCTTTTCTCTCCAGCTGTACTGTCCACAGTGAAAAAAGCTGACAAAAATTTCAGCACGCAGATGCAGCTCCCTGGCACTTCTTTAGATTGAATGTACTCAGAGAAGATCAGTCTCCAGATTATCTCAAGGTCTTCCCCTGTGATTTGGGTTACGTTGCTGAGTGACCAGCCACGTACCTAGCAGCAATTGGTGAAGTCAGAAACAGTTAAGCTAGACATAAATGGTAGGTGAATCCCAGTAAATACCGGAAGATAATTCAAGGAAGACCATGGACATGGTAGGAGAATGTGATGGAAAAATATTTCTATCCTTTTGTCTGTCAACAATCTGACATCCATGTGTGTGACTCTGATAGAACTATGTTTAGTATCAACGGCTGGAGTAGCGAACAGAGAGATTAAGATGATAATAGAATTATGTGAGGATCCAACTTTGGCTTCGCTACCACGTTCTGTAATTCTCCCCATCTCTGAGCTCAACTAAAGAAATGGTGAACTTAACCGGATTCTGAATGTCCTAAAAATATTTCCGTTTCCTTTAGTACTTCTTACAGTCTTGTAAACTTTCCTGATAATCACATATAGTTGAATAAAAGGAAGCGAAATGAATTTGGAAGGGCCTCAGATGTGAATCTTTTATTTTTCTTTTTAACATGTATAAAAACTAATTAAAAGCTTGCAGTACATGAGCACTGAAAATTAGTACAGATCATAGTGGGCTTTACAAGAAACAAACGCCTCATTTCTTGGTCTTTTGGAATGGAGGATTTCAAAAGATCTTTTCTTTAGAAAAGTAACTAGAAGTTTCTTACACACAACACACCCATCTTAGTTGAGTAAGTCAGACTTTAAAAACAGTTTGGACATTCTCAGTGAACTGCTGAAGCAACTTATTACACCTTTCCATGGAAGAAACATTCGATATAAAATTTTCAAAACATAAAACTAATAATGTAAAATACCTTCGTCAACCAGTTATGGGATTTTTCCAGGAATAGATATCCCTGTATTATACAGTTCTACATGCTGAAGACTCATTTAAGAAACCGAATTCTCTGGTTTGGAAAACCTCTGAGACTATTAATTCTGTGCATAAAAGCTGATAGGATACATTTAAAAAGTGCTTTCTAAAGTTTTAACTAGAAAAATGTACTATATGATGTTATCATCAATGAAAGGATTTCTTGGAATTAGTAGAGTTGAGTTGCATGAGCTCTTCCTTGAGTGAAAAAATGACTGTAGTGGACTCTAAGAGCATAATATCCTTTTAAACACCCCTCTTACTTAGAGATTGAAATCAGGAGTGAGTAACCTAGAGGGATTGTCTTCAAACTCCAGACTTCATAGATTTCTTAATAGATGGTCCAGACAATACAGGAGGGGTTAGGGAAGTAGGCTCCCCATACCTATTTCATGCCACGCTCAAACCTGCCCCACTTTTCATGGCTTTATACCGAGGGGGTTTCATGTGAGATCTGTTTGGGACACGAAGTTCTAGATCCGAGATAAAAGAAGAAGCCAAAGATCAAACACAATTCTGTTGTTTGTATTCTGTGGCATGGGACATTTTAGTAGCAAGCAGTATTTCGCTTGGAATCAAAATATACCACCTGAAAATGTCTCTCTGAAAGAAGTCAATGGTAAGTGATGCATTTTATGAAAAATCCAATTTTTAAAATATTTTACAAGTTGATGTTTATGTAATAATTTATATACACCCTGTGTCTATTATTGCCATGGAAATTTTTATAAAATTTTTCCCCTTAGGTAAACTCTACCCCCAGTGCGGGGCTCTAATTCAGGCCCTGAGATCAAGAGTCACACGTGCTCTACTGAGCCAGCCAGGTGCCCTAAAAGTTGTATAAGACTTTTTAAGTTGCTCTTATGAAAAAGTTACAATACAAAATTAAGGATTAAACTTAAGTTTAATTACAATTTTTTTTTCAAGGAAACATACTAACTCAGTGGATCCAACTTCTCATCTTTAAGACCTAGATAAGGCAGGACAAAAATTCTGCTTGTTTATTGAGAAAGAGACACACAGTAAACTAACAATGGAACTAACTCAAATAAGGGAATTCTTTCTGAAGGCTGCTGAATGCCTGAAGTGAAATGTTCTAGGTCAGATGAGATTTCAATCTAAATTTAGGTCTAGAAACTGCAACTCGTGATGATCCTATTATCCCAGCTAGCTTTAGGCAAAAATTGGTTTCATTTTAAGGGGGGGGAAGGGGGGGAGCAAATACCCTATAGATGTCAGGTATAACAAGTCCTAAGTTCAGAGACATAGTTATTTTGGCAGGACCACTTCTCAAGTGACACTAGCTAGCTACCTACTCTCATTAAGAGGCCCTGATTAAAACAAGAGGGCCATGATTAAATCATTAAGACAATGATTAAAACACTCAAAAGGGACAATTAAGTCCCAACTGAGAGGCAGAGGCAAGCGTCAGCATTTGTCATCCTGAGCTGAAATTTCATCATTTAAGAACCCCCCTGTACATTAAAGCCTTCAACTGTGAATCCTTCCCCAATATAGAAATGTGGAAGAATCTCAACTCCATTCCTAATAGATGAGCTGCTGGGATGAGGATGACACCAGTGATTCTACTTCTTGTAAAGTATCCTCAGATTGGAGTCTATTTTTAAATTACAAAATTGTTGAAACACAATACTAAAAATATGGACCAAAGAAAACTAAGTTCAGACGAGAGCAGTCATTCAGAAATGAAGTAACTAGAAACCAAAAACCAAACCTTACCTGCCCACCCCCTTCTAGAAGGTAGGCAGGTAGCAGGAGGTAAGCCCCAGAAAGGGGGCTACGGGGGGGAAATAAAAGCAAACAAAACCCATGAAATCCAGGAGTAGAACTGTATGGCAACAGTGACCAGAACGTGCCCTAACAGTTCTACTCCTTTGTGGCACCGAGAGTGCCAGAGACAGGAAGGAATCGGGACGAGCAGTTCAGTGGCATTTGCCCCGGGTTTTTTTTCTCCCCCCTCCCAATTTGCAAGTCCTCACTGCAGAATTCAATTCCACAATGAATCCCCAGACCCTGAATATTTGCAAGGTTCCATAAAAGAAAGCCCCAAACAAAACACATGTTTTAAAATTAAGAACCTATGTAGTTAAATAGCAACTAAAAGAGATCTGGTTTTTGACTAGGAAAGATGTGTCGAGCTTTTCAGTCATTTGAGCATTTAAGGACATAAACGAGATGCTCCGCAACTGAGAAGATAGACACGTTGAGGGCAATGCCAGACGTGCCTCTGGAAATTAGGACATGGTCACAATTTGCCATTTTAAATGCTAAAGCATTAACATGCAGAAAAAACTCTTAACACTGTTAGTCTGAAAGTCAAAATACCACGGCTAACCAGATTCATTATTAAAAAATCAACAAGTGTTAGGTCTAGGATTTTGGATTGATTGAGTATACCATACTCCCAGCACCAAATGTTTATTTTGGAAAGGGTTAATGAATGAGTAAAAAAGATGCAGTTGTTAAAAATGACCCAAAATCCCAAGAGAAATGGTATAATATATACACACATATATGTATATACAAATACATATACATATATATATGAACAAGGACATTTGGGTTTAAAGTTAGTAGTCAAATTTTCCAAGGACGTCTTTTTTTAAAAACACAGAGCCAAATTTTTATTTATTTCAAAACCACCTCCTCGATCTAACACTGTTAGAAATGAATGAATTACCCAATTTTGTGTTCAATTTGCTCCCTGTCACGTCACTTGGCTCTTGGCTACTAACCTTTCATGTTACTCTTGGTTTTGTCAGTTTGCTTGCCTGTGGGGGTTTGGGCCTGCTGACCCTGCCCACTTGAAGAGGCTGCCTGCTGTGCTGCTTTCTGCTTTAACATTGTCCAATCAAACGTGTAGTCGTACTGGTGGTTCAGAGTCCTGGAAAACACAGTGATGTGTTAATCCTTCAATAATGGAGTCCGGGTAAACACTCTACTGAACTTCCAAAACAGGGAGGGCAATTTTTAGAAAAATGGTAGTATATTCCCTAATCATGGTAGCTTCTGAAAACAATTCTTTCCATACACATGACTTTTTTACTCTTCAGTTCGTTAATCTCACTTTTTACAAGTCACAACTGGAGGAAAATGATGGCACCACGGTTCGGTCTGGTGTATTCAGTAAGAATTAATCTCCTTTTTCAAAAAGAAGCGGACTTTTATTTTTTTTTTAGTTTATTGTCAACTTGGTTTCCATATAACACCCAGTACTCATCCCAACAAGTGCCCTCCTCCATGCCCATCACATCACCCCTTTCCCCTTCTCCCCACCCCCATAAACCCTGTTTGTTCTCGGTATTTTAAGAGTCTCTTGTGGTTTGCCTCCCTCCCTCTCCTTAAAGAAGCTGACTTTTAAAAACTTTCTTGAAAGAGGCAGGGGAGTGGGAATCACCAGCAGCATGAACAACAAACAGTCAAGCTGTCAATAACCTAGGGAAACACTCACATAGGAAGCACCTTCTAAGAACATATCAGAGTGGGTATGAAAATGCAAGCGTGGGGGGGGGGATGCTGATGGCTTGGAAAGAAGTCTTTCCTGGGCTTAGAGAATTACCCCAAATTCTTCTCTTTCAACTAAGATTTCCAGCCACATGTATTCTATCTCCCTCCTCCATCCACTCGAGACCAATTCTGGGTTGCACTAGGGAGCCCTACAGAATGCAGCCTGCCTCCACACAATCATACACCCATAACTATCTCATATTTAAATTGCTACTAGTTTTGATATTAAATTGGGCTCTATAGCTAAGTTGGAGAGTTCCAAGGGTCACAACAGTCACTTGAATTACAACACGAATTACAATTATCATGGAAAGGTGAGATTCTTTGAGTTTGAGTACACTGTTTCTCGATCCCAAACCAGATGTGTTGGGTGGATCTGACTGATTTCCCTCCCTGGAGTCTACAGTCTTAAAACCACCTTAAAAACTGACCTGAAAAGAATGCGGAATAGCTGCCTCAGATACATGTAATCCGGGGCTTCCTCAAAGCGCAGCCCACGACAATAGTTTAAGTACATGGCAAATTCTGCAGGAAATCCCTACAAGTTCAAGAGTTAAAATACAAAGTAAAAAAACAAAAACTTATTAAGATTAAAAAAAAATGTATTTAAATGCAAGTAAAAATTGTTTTTGAGGAGACTGCTTTACTACTTTGCTGTAAGATCTGAGAACTGAAACTAATGAGACTTGGTATCCTCATAAATTTAATAAAATTTCATCGTCCTGATCACTTCATCATGTACAGAGAAAATATGGTTCCTTTCCCTACAGTATTACGTCTTTAAATAACTTAGATATCGTACTTGTTAACTTATTATTTTATTAATGTCTAACAATTCAATGGGAACAACGAACAAATGACAAAATTGAGGCTGGTAATGTTCTTTGCCACATAGGCACAGTGAACAGGCACTTTTTCTCAGACTCCGAAATTGTTTTCTTTTCTGTACTAGTAGATACTTTATATATAAACAGACAAGTAAAATCAGAGAGTGCAAGCATAAAAAACAACCACTATTGTGATGATACAGAGCAATCCAATGCTTTGTCCTACAGAAGACTGGGATTGCCTTATCTTTTTTCTGTTAATTGTTATTTTATTACATCCATAATATGACTCTGTTTTCCCACCAACATTATATTGCAAGTATCTTTCTGTGTAATTTTCCTACCTCTTCATAAGATTCTGAATGGCCGCATAGTATCCAAACGAGTGAATACACCCTAATTAACTGGTTACCCGTAACTGGCCATTTAGGTAATTAAAATTTTTTCTCTTTTCTAAACAATACTGGTAAGAACACCTGTAGGCATAAACTTTTTCCATTTTCAGTTTTTTAGGAAAGATTCTCAAAAATGTATATAAACATCTTTAAGCCTGTTTTTTTTTGTTTATTTTTGAGAGAGACCGCACACGAGACAGAGCATGAGCGGGGGAGGGGCAGAGAGAGAGGGAGACACAGAATCAAACAGCTCCAGGCTTTCAGTAAAAAGCCCAATGTGGGGCTCAAACCAATGAACCATGAGCTCATGACCTGAGCTGAAGTCAGATGCTTAAGCGACTGAGCCACCCAGGTGCCCCTAAAGCCTATAGACATTAATCACCAAAGATTTTGCCATCAGCAATGTAGAAATGCAAAATATTAAAATAAAAATGCCTGTATCTCTTCCCTCAAATATATGTGAATGTGAAGAGCTTTAAGTTAAAAGAGGCAGTCTCTTCCCACAGCCTTCCAATTTTAAGAAATTTCTCAAATGCAGAAAACTAGGGTGGGATAGAATGGATATACTTGCAACATTCATCTTTATGGACTGCACTTGAGGTAAACAGATTTCATTTTTATACTATTTCACTGTTCGAGAGTGGACAGCTGAAACTAACATGATGAATAGATTGTACATTTTGCTTATTTAAACTCTTAACAGGACTTTAAGCAGCATGTACGAGATGAACTTGCATTTATGGATTCCAAATAGAGCTAAACAACCACAAGTAAAAGTCAAATAGTATACTTCAGGCATTGCTACCTTATGACAGCAGGCAAAACCGTCACCAAAGAAAACTACCAATGCCGTAAGTAATACTAACATGAAGGAAGTAGTTACCACTGTAATGAGACTGAAAACAATCTCACTACTTTTAATAATGCTAATACTCTGTTCACTGCCTCTGAATCAATCATATTGTGGCTAATCCAGAAAGTCAGACCTAGTTCACAATTTCTAGATCGAAATTAAGACATGACCCAGAAGCAGTGTACAAACACTCCCTTTCTCTTCCTATAAAAATGGCTGACTATTCCAGTAAGCCAAATGAATCATTCTGTTGCATAGAAATAGCAGTGTACAGAAAATATGTTTTGTTTCCTGAAATACACAAATTTTAAAGTTATGGGGGTGGGGGGTGGTGTCTGGATGACTCAATAGGTTAAGCATCCGACTCGTTATCTCTGCTTAAGTCATGACCTCATGGTTCATGAGATCGAGCCCTGCGTCAGGCTCTGCCCTGACAGCTCGGAGCCTCCTTGGGATTCTTTTTGTCTCCCTCCCCCTCTCCGCCCCTCCCCGCTCTTTCCCTCTAAAAAATAAACTTAAAAAAAAAAAAACACGTTATCTGGGTGCACTATAACACATGAACATTTTATTCAGGGACCTGCAATGTATTTAATAATTTAAAACAAATTCCAGAGTCTCAAGAAAGAATACACTCTCTTACCTACCCCAATCCCTCCTTTAACTATAGATCTGGAGAAGGGAAAAGGAAATTTGTGGATAGGGAGACATAATAACATCACCACTTTCCCCCTTCCACAAAGTACTATTTGAGCTCCATGCTGACTTTCTAATGCCAACTACATAATTACATACTGTTTTTTAATTATGTCGGTTACACCATGGTCTCAAAGATGACCACGTGGTTTTCTTTCTATGGAAAAGACTATGGTTATCCAACACGACACCAACAGCTCTCCATTCTCAACTCCCAGGCTTCTCTACAAAGCTTGAGATTTAAGAGAAATGAGCCCAATTCTATAGCCTGAGTCACCTGTACTGTTGTGCACCAGGTATTTTGGAATACTGTGATTTGCCTTTGTTTCCCTGCTCTCTGTATATGCCTGCCAAGTGCCGATATCCATTATTTTCTGGCGCCAGTTGAGGGATGAGAATATTTCTTTATTTTCTTTCGAATGGTGAATTCCACTAGAAAACTTTACATGCCTTCTCTTCCCTCTAATTTTTAATAGATTAAATGTAAATGCTTATTTGAAATGATTCCTAAGGGGTGCGCCTGGGTGGCTTAGCTAGCTAAGCCTGAGTATCGGTTTGGGTCTTGACAATGAGGTTGTGGGATGGAGTTCCGCATAGGGCACTGCATTTTAAGCAGACATTTAAAAAAAATTAAAATGACTCATATATTCAAGCTACTCTTAAAGAAACTTAGAATCATCAAACGTAAATAAAAATGGTAACAGCTAGCGACATAAATAGGACATTTAAATTCCAGGACTGGCAAGTAAAATGCTCCCTCTTCTTGGATTATTATATTATTACAAAAAGAAAGAAAGAAAGAAAAAGAGGCCTCCTGCACACTTGCCTTACATAAAACTTCAACAGGAGTGGACATCTTCTTTTCACTTATCTTTTCATATTTTTGCTTTTTTGTTGCAGCCTGTGGAAAATAAGAATCAAACCACATAGACATAGTCAATACTTCTGAGAAGAACCTGGTTAGTTTAACCCATGACATAAATGTAAGCTTGAGATTTGAGAGAAATCATAACTTAGAATTTAAAAGCAAACTGAAGTGAATAAAACACACCCATTCCCCCAATCCTTCCCCAAGCTGTTAGCTCTTCACATGTGTTTCTACCTCAAGAACATTTTTAGCTATTAGGAAAAGAGGAGTCTAATAGGAACACGATTTAAGTAAAGATGGGTGAAGTCAAATCTGAAATATATTTTCATAATCAACACTCAACACAAGGGCAATGGTATAAGCAGATCAATACCAATAAAAGTGCTCATTATTTCGTAATGTTAGTTATCTTTCTAATGTAAAAATTACTCATTTTGGATGGTGTTATCCACACAAGCACTGAGCAATTTATCCAAATCACAGATGCTAAATAAACACAGGGACCATTTTCTTTTAAAGGGAACCATGAAGTATCAGAATAGTCATTAAATTCTAGGATACAGTGTATTTATCATGAACAGACAGTCATGAAAATCAAGGTGAAACTCCTAAATAATAGGACCAAATGTTAGGATGATGAAATAATACAGCTACTTGTAGTATTACTAGATGAACCAGTTTTACTACACATTAAGAGTCTACATTTTCAACATACTGGCAACACATCAAAATAAGAAAGTCTCCACCTTTAATCAGCCCACGTCAATTTCCATTCAGATAAAGCTACTAGTTACCAGTGGGTACCTGCTTACTGTCCCAAAGGAAATTGTTCTTCAAGCCTGACTATGGGATTCTACTAACTTAATTCTTGCTGAAATGATCAGATTTTATTTTCCATATAAAAGGTAAAAATAAAGTTAATTTACTCTCAGAAAGCCTTATATTTGAGAGGGACCTTAAAGTTCATTTCCAATATGTATTTTTATTCTTAAAACAAAACAACAGGTAATGGAAGTCTGGTTTACCTTTAGTCCTTGCCAGGGCAGGCTGGTTCTATTAAAATACATCAAAACATATCCTAATGATTCCATGTCATCTCGGCGACTAGAATAGAAAAATGTAAATTTATGAGCTAGATTATGGAACACATGTGAAAAAAAGCCAGGTATACAAGAAGTTTTCCCAGGCAAAGAGAAATTTGGTGGCTTGTGAAAGAAGGTACTTAAAATAATAAAAAAAGTTCATAATGAGCTACTTCTGTACAAACTTTTCTCACAGAACACAAAACTATAAAACCCAACATGGCCTTGGAATTTAATTTCTAAAGAGCAGAGAAAGGACTTAGCAAAATAACTTTCTAAATGAGGTCAGTGAAGATGGAAGAACAAAGTACAAAGTGGCAGGACACTTTCAAGTTCTGCAGAAGCTCATAAAAACTAACCTGAAGGAGGGTGAAATAAATTAGCATTTCATTTTTTAAATGTTTGTTTTTGAGAGAGAAGAGAGAGAGAGAGAAATTCTGAGGGGGGGGGAGAGAGAGAAAGAGAGAGAGAGAGAGAGGGAGGGAGGGAGGGAGGTGGGGAACACAAGCAGGGGAGAGGCAAAGAGAGAGGGAATCGCAAGCAGGTCCGTGCGCAGCATCAGCACGGTGATGGGGCTCCAACTCCTGAACCGTGAGATCATGACCTGGGCCAAAGTCAAGAACTTTGGGACGTTCAACCAACTGAGCCACCCAAGCACCCCAGTTAACACTTTAAAGCCAACTAACCAAGCATATGAATATATATATTTACATACACACTGAACATTTCCTAAGCTTAAGATCCTTCTCTTCAGGTTCCCAAACCTGGAAGCATATCATTTATCATTTCTATGCTTGTTTTATGGAGCAAAAATTGATCGATAAAGGATGAAGAGAAGATGAAAAGCCAGAAAAAAAGAGAAAATAGAAGAAACAGAAAAAGCACAGAGATCATGACAATGTTTACTTCAAACCAGATCTTATGAACTCATGAAGGAGTGAAAGAGTAGAACATGAGATGGCCCACCAACTCCCTCTTGGTCCATTAGGACTCAGAGAACATTTTCCTTGTTAAACTAAATAACTAACACGTTCTTCTCCAAAACTCAAATTGCATCACTAAAATATAAAACTCAAGATCAGCATTAAGAAAATAAGTACCACTGTCTTCAGTTGCCAACAAACAAACATCAAGATAAAATTACATTTATGCTTGAACTTTCCATTGCGCAACATTTTCTCCCCAGGAGACAACCCTCAAGAAACAAAATGTCTCTTATTTAACTGGCGTCTCAGCACTGACTAAAGCAACAGGTAAAAGGATTAACAAGCGTCCTTCAAATCTTCAGCCAAGAGACATCTTTAGATATCCTAAGACACTAGTTAAAATATTTCAAAAACCCATTAGTGGCTTTGGCCATGGATCTGATAAACACATTCCTTTTTCAAACCTACCTCTGTTCGATACCAAGATGTGCATTGATGCTAGCATATCGGGCAGTGCCAGTGAGATTTTTATCTTCTCTGTATGGTATGTGTTGCCTTGTCCTGTTGTCTCTGTACTTTTTGGCCAAACCAAAATCAATAAGGAATAACTTTAAGAGAAAATAAAGAGATATTAGGTTTCCAATCTTGTCCAACTGAACTGCTTCTTATTCATTAAACAGCATCTAGTCTATCTTGTTTAACTACATCAAAATAAAGTAGCGTAAGTAAAACAGATAATGAACAAACTTAACACTCCAGTAAGTTTTTACTAGTTCTCATCAATAAATCAAGTTAAAATGAAACAGTTAAGTGGTTGATCCTTGTCAGCTGACCCAACTCCATAGGCCCAGTTTACTACACACTCAAGAGCCTTGTCTTTATTTAGGAAAGTAGCGGAGAAACATATACATGCTTCATGGCCGAGTTGACAAGTGTGCTCTGTGCCATAATGAAACCTGGCATCCTGTTACTGTTGGTAAACAAGCATGAGGTTTCAAAAGCTAAACGTAAGCGATCTGGAATTCTTCCATTTTGCAAAGGCTATTCATTCAGTATAGCAACAGAATGTTCATTATCTAAGGCAACTTTCAAAGTTTGATATCGACAACAAAACCATGATTTGTATTAACAAAAAATAAGCATTTTAAAACAAGCATGCATTACGTTCTACTACTTCCCACTGACATTTATCCATTCATCAGGTTAAACTTCTGGGAAATAGAATAAATTGACCTAAAATCTTAAAAACAAAACAAAACAAAACAAAAACACAGCACTTAGTATCTCTTTACACCATGACAACTTACAATTAGCAGTTTAAAGGAGCTAACTAAAAACCAGACTAGCGTTTTAGAACAAAATACACAGTTTGGTGCTATCTTGTTTATATGGTACACAGGGAATAAGGTATATTTATAATGTAGCTTATGTTTATAATATAGCTTATTTTTGAAGGAAAAACACCCTATTTTTGGCAAAAAAAAAAAAAAAAAAAATCCAATATATATTTACGTATCTTCTAAAGCAAAATAATCGTTATTTCAAATTTTAGTCTTTATCATAAATTCACTTATTAAAGGTATGTCTACAAAGATTGTCCAACAGGCAGGTCTAGGTGCTCTTTTAGTACATAGCCCTAGACTTTTTCTCCCTAGGTGTGCCTATGTTTTGTAGTTCTTCTTTCCATTTAGGCAGACTTTGGGTCCCTTCTGCCCAGTTTATGCTGTGATCCTCTAGCAAACCCATCAGCTAGCCTCTTATGGTGTGTGTAAGAATAAGCGATGAGGACGGGGGGTGGCTCAGTTGGTTAAACATCTGACTTCTGCTCAGGTCATGATCTCACGGTTCGTGAGTTTGAGCCTGGCATTGAGCTCTGCGCTGACAGTTCAGAACCTGGAGCCTGCTTCACATTTTGTCCCCTCCATCACGCGTGTTATCTCTCTCTCTAAAATAAACATTAAAAAAAATTAAAAACAACAAAAGAAGAATAAAGCGATTTATTTATGTGAAAAAAATCTGATCAAGTGCCTCTCTTAGGAGGATAAAAAACACTTCTATGGGGGATGGGGCATGCCTGGCTGGCTTAGTCGGTGGAATGTGCACTTGTAATCTTGGGGTTTTGAGCTCGATTGAGCCCCATGCTGGGTATAGAAATTACTTAAAAAAAAAAAATCTTTTTATAAGAAAGGCAGGCCTTTTTTGTACATTGGATGGGAAAAGACATTGAGGTTTGAGCTTGAGTCACCAAGCTAACATACCTATTCTCCCCTGGTCTATTATGAAAGAAGACCAAATTTTTCGTAAAATTTAACTGGAAAATGAGACCTATCGAGTCAGGTAAAATTCCTTCCTCAGCAACTGCATTACTATAACACTATGAGAAAGTCTTATAAAAACAAAGAGAAATAAAGCTCACACTCCTATGTTTCTCGATGTGAAAATGGGATCAGTACACAAATATTAAAATAAGCAAAATACATTTCTGTTAAGCAAACCAAAAATTATGACTTAAGTCCTGCAGAGTCACACTGAAAACAAGGCAAAAACAAACACAAAAAGACATTCAATTCCATCGTATTTTAAAAAACACCCATAAGAATTACGTTGAGTTTTAAACAAAAGGTAATTACAACAAAGACTCTCCTCTAAAGAATGCGTTCTAGGATTGCTTCTTTTAGTTCTTCAAAATGGAGACGAAAATAAGAAAAACTCTGACAAATTATATCTGATAGTTTCCTTCATGTCTAAGTCTACATTCAGTTGCTCCATTTGCAACTCAATGACCAGACATTTTCTCACAACTTTTTAAAAGATCATTCTATAAAATATAAAAGCCCAGTGTTCACTAGTGTTCTTTCTTTCCACAACTCTAAGGGATGAAATGTAGCTTATTAAGAAAACAAAAAATAAATACAAACACTGTCTTCTCAAATCTCTCAATCTTTAATATAAAAACAACCTTAAACTTTCTCTTCTAAATATTGAAAATAATTCAGGAAAAATCATTTCACTGCTAAGCAAAGGTAACTTATTTTAAGAACAAACAACTGAAAAAGAAAGCTCCTTAACATTAAAAAAATTTTAATCTGTTGGTAGTTCATTATCTTCTGGTACCTATCAAGCTTCTTTAGTAGTTCTGTTTTGAACTTAAAAATGAATATATGAACACAACAGAAGTGTTTTTACATGGTACTAATGATACCAAGGATTCAACCAAACAGCCGCGAATATGGAAAGGCAGAAGCAAACAAGTAAAAGTCAATGTTCAGTAAGTCTAAGAGAATATATTTTTATACATTTGCACGTGCAAAAAGAAGTCTAATTTCTTTGGTGGGTCAAGCTGCTTTTCTGTGAATTTTTACTTTGTGTTCAAAGTAGAACTTGTGCCCATGTTACAGAATATGGCCTCTTCTCCGAAGGCATATGGGAGTGCATTACTGTGGGGCACGCTGGGGGGAACTCCCTGCAGTAGAGGTACTTAGAAACACTACAGATGATTTTGGTTTTTAGCTCATCTAGCGATTTTTCTCCTAACCAGAGTCACAGTCCCTTGCCCTTCCCAAACATTCATAGGATCACTTTTTCTCACAACTCAGCTAACCTGTATGTAGAAAATATAAACAATTCAAGGTAGTTTTATGGAAATCACTAGATGATTTTGCTACAAAATGTAAGTTGTGTGCATGAATGGATACGGAAAAGTGGGGAACTAGATGCTTGACAAAGGGCCTAGTTACCCACCCCCCCAAACTAAGATCTAGTTGCAACAATTATTATTTCTTTGTGAATAAAAAGAAGTTTGCATTTCAGAAACCTATGTAACAGCAGGAAGACTCTCGCTGGAATAATGCTGGGCAGCAGAGAAAAGGATTAAATGACGGCCCAGATGAGGCGTGTGGTACAAGGTATGCACATACTCTGAAACTACACCAAATTCAACTTTTCTTTTCTGATTACTCATGCCAATACTTCCTTCTCAGTGTATACTAAATAGAACGATTAACAGTCAGTCACTTCTTTGCTCAAGAGCTTAACTAAGTTAACTAGCTAGTTTTTAAAGTGAAGAGTTCCACCTACATAAAAAATCTTTTTAAGAAAAGTACTGGGGTGTTTACGTAGCCTGTCAAACACTAAATCATCAGGTTATGCATTAATTTATCTCACAGGTTATTAGTGGTAATTGTTTGCTAAGTGCTTTAATTATGTTATTGTTATATTGTTAGACTGCAGCATCTCCTAGTTCCAGAGCATATGATGCTCTTTAAGTATTTTATGCCATTTGGCTGAAGTTGGAGAATTTGCAGACTGAGGTAAAATCAATCCTAGAAATGCTAGATCTGAAATCTGATCTACACTTACCTGAAGTTCACTGGGGAAGGGGAAGAGAATTGAGGCAGAATATATTCATCAAACAGCACTGATGCAGCTGAATTTAGATATATGTCATGCATTAAATGTTCTGCAACTCCAAATACATTCTTAAAAACTGAAGTCTAGCTCAAGTTTACCATTAGTTAAAGAATTTCAATTCTAGACCAACATATCATTTCCTCATATGGATGTTGCAGTTCTAAACATAATCCTGTTTTCATTTAGGTTTTCTCTAACTTTATAAGCTTTAAGCAAAAGCCACAAAAAAAACATCTTAGTAATGTTATATGTTTGCCAAGTATGTCTGAATAATGCCAACGTAAGAGATGCTTGAGCAAGATCTACATTCTCCAGAATTAAAACAAAACAAAAATAATCAAAATAAAACAATAAAAAAGAAAAGCACATGAATTTGGGATTGAGGTTGGAATAGGAGACAGTTTCAGACCTGGTTTAATCCTGAGAAAGATGGGTCCTGAGAAGTACTAACAGTCATGCTTCTTTTCCTCTTCCCCACTGGAGATTCTAAACACTAAACAGACAATAGAGGGTGGCAGTGCATCAAACAGTATTGCTTACATTGCAACAATGGCCGGCGCAGACAGGCAACACCGAGGCATTAGAGAAAGAACAGGGTAGCCAAATGCCATCCTTCTTCCACCAAGCACTGTAGCTTCTCAGTTTTCCAAATAAGAATCACATGCTCGAGAACATTTGAATTCTGGAAAATACTCAAGTTTTTAATGCCACTATATCGTGTCACTGCCTGAATCAGGGATAGCAATGGTGACATTTGGCTCTTTAGTTTTTTAATCAAAAATGGGGAATTTGGCTCTGCAATATTTGGGACCACAATCTGCCCTTCCCCCAAGAAAAGACTGTAAAGGGGGAAAAAATCTTCAGTAAGGAAGAGGTAGAAGGCATTTAGTCACCTCAAAATTGGTTTTCATAAGCATGCAGGGCTGATTACTGGAAGAGATGAATAAATTCACTAAGATTGGAGTGGTCACTCCTAAACATCAAATTCAGAACAATTTTCCAAGTAAGAAATTTGACTTAAAAAAAAAAAATCAACCTCAAAAGCCCCCCATTTTTTCCCATGAATAGACAACTATTAGAACAAGCTAACCAAAGACTCCAGTCTCATAAAACTGGCATGTTTGAAAACAGTACAGAAAGAGAACACTAAAAATCAACTACCAGAAACAAAACACTAATCTAAAATATTCCAGAACAACACTTAGAATTTCAATCTTAGTGAAGTGAAACACTGCACTTCTATCCTAGGGACTCTGAATCTAGTAACAGCAAGCAGCTCCACAGTATCTTTTAGTATCTCTAGAGAGGACACAAGATCCTAAAAAGGTTTACATCATGGGGCAAACTGGACATCCTAACACAACTATGTAATGAACAAAGCTATTTTTAAAAGGGGAGCAGGGAGCAAAGAGTCATTATCTAGGTCATCACTTAATTTTAAGACAAAACCCATGTACTGCAACGTCAACATGCAGAACACAGATCACATTAGGAGAGTGGTGTTTTATCAGGAAGAAAACAGGGAAGGGGGCCTGAGAAATGGCCAGAAGATCAGGGTCAAACTGACAAAAACTGCCCCCAAAATTAAGACCAGTAAATTTTTCTTTCAATCAAATCACCAGGTTTTGCAATTAACAATTTAGAACCTGGATGCTTCAGAGAGAGAAGCTACACAATATTTTTAAAAAAATAAAATAAATAAAGATGCAATTTGGGAATGGCAAGATAAGTTATATATAGATATACACACCTCTCATTATTTAAAGGTTAGCTTACAAAAAAATTTAAATTCCTAAAACTTGGTCAGACCAACATTAATGTCTCACGCATTAGCAGGTAACACCCAGTTCTAATGGTAATGGCTACAAGTTGGCATTCATACAGGCAAACAGAGGTAAACATTTATAGCCAGACCTGAAAAACACCAAACCTTTCCTAACGATTTAATAAAACAAATGGGAGTCTTCCTTCCAAAAACAAAACAAAACCCCACAAAAACCAAAAAGCCCCATGTTGTCCTGAAGTTGAGAATTTCTATCAGATCATCAGATCATCACATGCTTAGTGCATTGCCAATGCTGCCTGTCTGCCCGAGCTCAACATTGAATCGATAAATAAAGCAATTCGCTCAATAAAACTAATCATTGCAGAAAAAATTTCAACACAATTAGTTTCTAACTGCAATCATGCGTCACTGGCTCAAACCCAATCACCCCATCTGTTCCACCATTCTGAGACCCCAAGGAGTACTAATTTTGTTGTATGAATGTGACTGTATTTTCCATTAAAAGGGGGAGAAAGGGTGGAGAAGGGGTGGAGAATCCACCCAACTTGGCACCCAAGTAAGAAACTGTCAACTACTTTTGAAGCAGGCCCAAAAGTTAACCTTTTGAATACACAGATCCAAGGACTGAAGAATTCTCATTATGACCATGCTCAGTCAGCACATGTTAACGCCATGGTGACAGATGGGTCAGCGGTTCCCACGCTGGCACAAGCCACATATTATTACAAAAACCCACACTTTAGAGACAAAGGTTAAAATCTGACTTTAGCATTCAGGAAAAGATGCATATGGGGTTTTTTACGATTTCAATGAATGAAAAATAGATACGACTTTTGAATAGTTAAATAACAGATGATTACATTTCATTAGAAAGCCCTTGGGAATTTTATATTTCCATATAGATAATTAACCTGGGTTGGGTAAGTTGGAAGAAAATTTGTTTCAAGTTACTAAGTTAATAAGAGTTAGCTGATTATCCTTCTAGCACAATCTTTTAAAGCAATCATCAACAGCAAATACAATTTCCTACGACTTTTGAAAAGATTCAAAATTTACCAAAGCAATTCTTGGAGTTTTTACTCTTTGCTTTCATGCAGAGAACATTTGACTAACCTTATTACAGTGACGCCCAATACCCATTAGGAAGTTATCTGGTTTAATGTCTCTGTGTATAAAATTCTTTGTATGCACATATTCAATTCTACTGATCATCTGGAAAAGAAGGGGGGAAGGGTGAGAGATAATTATGTGATTTGAATTGTGAGAAAAGAAAGCAACACATTGTTCTTCAATTATTTCAGTATCTCAATTATTTTTCAGGATCCCAGGTATATGTTAGTAACTTCACGTAGAGTTCACAGTGCTAGACAAAACTAAATGTAAAGGGCAACCGGGCTCTCCATTTATCCTTAGACTGATGAATATCTATCTAAGCATAAACCTGACCCATGCTTTGGCATGTTCTAGTTTTAATGATTATAAATATGACAACAATCTGATAGGAAAAATTGATGTCTGCAATTTTTAAATTATAAAAGTAGTAAGTTTAGAATTGTTTCAATTAGGAAAAGCTAAATCATCAACTTTTCATCCCATTCAATGCTACCTCAGGTAACCTGTGTGAATAACAGCCTGGCATTATCCGTTTCCACGCTCTTATATGTATACACTCATGAACTCCAGACACACACAGAATTGGGAATAGACGGTGTTGGCCAATTGAAAGATACAAGTTGTTACTGTGTTAAACTAGATTGGAAGCATCCTATTCATCTTGTTCTTGCTGGCCTGTTTCTAACTAAACATAACCCAAACTCCTGGAAGTCAGCAGCATATAATGTAAAACATAAAACATGGGGACATATACATGCTGAGTTTTACTTCTTAGATGCTTTTTGAACTCTCCCATGTTTTTTCTCCACACTTCAGTAACGACATTTAAATTGCATTCAAAAACTGAATAGGAAGCCTGTCGTTCTGACAACCTCTTCTTAATTTCTTGAAAATCCTGTCAAGTTGAACAGTATAGGTCTTTGCATTCTTTTTAAATGGCTACAAATACTCTATGGTATAGATTAAGTTTTCCCCAATCACCTCCCAACTTCTTTTACTTCCATTGTACCCACTATCTTCCCACTATAAACAATAATGCTATTAACAAATTTAAATATATCCTTATGTGGGCATCTGGGTGCCTCAGTCAGCTGAGTATCCGACGACTTCAGCTCAGGTAATGATCTCACAATTTGTGAGTAGGAGCTCTGCATCGGGGTCACTGCTGTCAGCACACAGAACCTGCTTGGGACCCTCTGTCCCCCTCGCTGCCCCTCCCCCACTCATTCTCTCTCTCAAAAATAAAGAAACATTTAAACCAGTCAATCAATCCTTATCTACTGGTGCTTTTACTTCTATGGGCTACAAACCCCATACAATTGTAGGGAGTCTTGGGTTAAAGCAGCTATCGATAGGTGGCACCTGACTATCTTTCAAAACAGGCTCTAACAATTCATTTCCCAGAGGTACTTGAGAATATGCTTCTTCCCATTGGCAAACTTATTTTAATTCTTTCTAAATTTTGCCAGTGGCAGGTATTGCCTTCACCTCTATTTCCCTAACACTTGGTTTAGAAGTCTGCTCGTTTCTATTTTCTAAACTATCAATCTGTATACACTGTCCATTATTTTTTTTTGCTTGTCCTAGTCTTGTCAAATTTAAGAATTCTTTGCATATAACAATCGTTTTATGTGTCATTTGTTATATAAATAAATCTTAATTTTAAAAAACTGTCTTGTAACTATTTATGGCATCACTTTTCATCTCTTCTTTGTTTTAATTTTCCAGTAATCAAATAGGACTAAGAATCTATAAGATACTAAGAAGTATTTGAAAATATTTTCAATATCCAAAGACTAACATTATCTTTCTACCCATATGTTCTTGCTCTTCTCAGTAGTATGTGTCAGGATTCTATTTTTTATTTGTCCCCATTTTCCCTAGGGCTTTTATTACCATACCGATTCTGAACCTTGACAAATGTCTCTTGAAGCCAAATGTGTAATCTCTAGCTTCAACTATTTATACTCTCAAGGAAGTAGCTGTATACAATGTCCAAACAGCACCTTTAGTTATAGCAGCAACTTGTACTTTATTAATGGAAGTAAAACAAAACATTCAGCCCACTGAATGCACTTATTTGTCCCAGCTAAGTGATACCCATCATTAAACTGGGATTATCAACTCGTTGGGAAAAGGCTCAGCAAAGGATAATAAATGGCACAAACTACTTGCCTTCAAGTGTTATTTATGGATCATCTACAGAGCAAGAATTAGTTACCTCCTTAAACCATTGCTTTCTTTCCTTAAATTACATTTTTTCTGTATTAACAGTGTACTCAATATAGAATTCTATCTATTTTGAACATTGTATTTTTCTATTTTTCTCTACTAACCTCTATACTCTTAGAGGAAAGGGACTAGAGCTCTTACTCTTCTTTGCACCCTCCAGTACTAAGTAAAGCAGCAGGCCCTGAATAAATGCTCTCCATATGAATACCTATGTGTTACCGAGCCTATAGCATATAAACTCTTTCTATTAGGATTCACTCATGTTAGTTAAAACACAGCAGAAAGATTTTTATCTTTCAATGTTTTAATTCTTAACGTACCACAAATAAAACACTGTAATTTGCTAATATTTGCTGGAGCCCCTCAGAGTTTTTATGTTGACCTTAGTGGAATATTGGTGCTGATTACAGAAAACACTATTTTCTCATCTTCTGATTTTATACTTTTACCATCTCATTTTACTTTGACATTCAAGCTAAGTTTTAAAAATGTTATTCTCCTCCATAGCACTGAGTTCAACTTGAAGCATTTCCAACATTTTCCTACCCTTATGTATCTTGACCAGACTTTAAAATCATAAGTTCCTTGGGGCGCCTGAGTGGCTCAGTCAGTTGAGCGTCCAACTCTTGATTTCAGCTCAGGTCATGTTCTCACAGTTCATGAAGTTGAGCCCCATATTGTGCTTTCCCCTGACTGCCTGAAGCCTGCTTTGGCATTCTCTCTTTCCCCCTCTCTCTGCCTCTCCTCTACTTACATGTGTGCATACGCTCTCTCTCTCTCTCTCAATAGATAAACTTAAAAAATTTCTTAAAATTGTAAATTCCTTGACATTTACCTATCATGTCTAACCATATTTTGTCTGTTACCTAAAGGCTTGTTCCTGACATTATTCCCCCATCTTAAATTTCTTTAAAATAATTTTTCTTATTTTGTTAAGATCCAAATAAGTTCTGGCTTTAAATAATTTAAAGAAGTTTACTTATTTTGAGAAAAGAGAGAACCAGTAGTGGAGGGGCAAAGAGAGAGGCAGAAAAAGGATCCAAAGCAGACTCTGTGCTGACAGCAGAGTGCCCATTGTGGGGCTCGAACTCCAGGACCAGGAGACCATGACGTGAGATGAGGTCAGATGCTTAACCTACTGAGCTAATAACCAGGCGCACCGGCTTAAAACAATTTAATGTAACCTTCAGCCAGTGCATGAATTTAATTCATGACATTTTCAAAATTTCCCTGGTTTTGCTTAAAACCAATGGCTGAGAATTCATTAAAGAAACAACTACGTGGTCAAAAATTCTTCCTTAAATTATTTCAATACTGTCTTCCTCAAAACTATAGCTTTCATGGTGCGTCTGGGTGGCTCAGTCAGGTTAAATGTCCAACTCCAGCTTAGGTCATGATCTCATGGTTCGTGAGTACAAGCCCTGCATAAGGGCTCTCTGTTGTCAGCATAGAGCCCGCTTCGGATCCTTTATCCCCCTCTCTCTGTGCCCCTCCCTGTTCATACTCTCTTTCAAAAATAAACATTAAAAACAAGCATTAAAATTTGTTTTAATTTCACATTAATACATAATACATAATGTACAACATCCAAATTAAAATTTGTTTTAATTTTACATTAATACATAATGTACAACATACAATCCGCTTATCCAAAACTTCTCTATATTTCTTTCTATATATGTATTGAGCCCTTCCTTCAAAAATCTTATAAAGAAACCTATATTTTATACTGAAACAGACTCCATCTGATGGAACAGCCTGAAAACTACTTTTCTACAGGTGAATAATAAACTAGTATAATCCATTTCTATCTTATGACCACAGGAAAACATCTCTAAGTTGGATTAGAGAAAGTAGACTTGAGTGAGTACAACCTACTGTTGTATCTTTCTTTTTTTTTTTTCTGAACATAAGGTTACATAGTGACACACAGGATTATACACACTCTGGTTTATGAAAATATATATTACAGTTAAATAGTAGTATTCTCAATATTTATTTTCATCCAAATTTCACATACCTGGTCAGCTAACATAAGTACAGTTTTCATTGTGAACCTTCTTGAACAGAAATTGAAGAGGTCTTCAAGGCTGGGTCCGAGCAGATCCATGACTAGCACATTGTAGTCTTTTTCCTGACCATACCACCTAACAAAAGGGGAAAAGGGACAGCTTTATGAAAAGCTGATTATCACTTAATATCGCTAAATTTTCAAAATTCTTAAGCCCTAATAATAAGATAGTTTTACTTCTCAGGATGCCTGGGTGGCTCACTAGGTTGAGCATCTGACTCCTGATTTCGGCTCCCAGGTCATGATCTTGCAGTTCATGGTTAGAGCCCCATGTTGGGCTCTGAGCTGACAGTGCAGAGCCTGCTTGGGTTTCTCTCTCTCTCTCTGCCCCTCCTGTGTGTCCATGATCTCTCTCAAAAATAAACACTTAAAAAAAAGGGGGGGGGGCTTTACTTCTCTAGTTACCTTTTATTTATTTTATTAAAGGTATCATAGGGGCCCCTGGCTGAATCAGTCGGTGGAGCAACTCTTCAACTCAGGGTTGAGTTTGAACCTCATGTTGGCTGTAGAGATTACTTAAACAAAATATTTAAAAAATAAGTAAAATAAAATCTTTAAAAATAAGAAAATCAATAATGGAGGTTCTTCAAAAAGTTAAAAATAGAACTACCTTTGACCCAGCAATTGCACTACTAGGTATTTACCCAAAGGATACAAAAATACTGATTCATTGGGGGGGGGGGGAGACATGCACCCCAAAGCTTACAGCACCATTACCAACAATAGCCAAATTACAGAAAGAGGCCAAATGTTCACTAACTGATTAAAAAAAAAAAAAAAGATGTGGTATATGTGTGTATGTGCACACATGCGTGGCACACGCGCGCGCGCGCACACACACACACACAATGGAATATTAGTCATCAAAAAGAATGAAAGCATGACATTTCCAACGATGTGGATGGAGTTAGGGTACTGTGCTAAGCAAATGAGTCAGAGAAAGACAAATATGATTTCACTCATATGCTGAATTTAAGAAGTAAAACAGATGAACATAGGGGAAGGGGGACAAAGGGGAGAGAGGAAGACAAGCCGTAAGAAACTCTTTAACTACAGAGAACTGAGGGTTGATGGGCTAAGCAGATAATGGGTATTATGGAGGGCACTTGTGACGAGCACTGGGTGTTATATGTAAGTGATGAATCACTAAATTCTACTCCTGAAATCAGTAGTATACTATATGCTAACTGAGATTTAATTAAAACTTGGGGGAGAAAAAAAAAGAATTTGCATGGTAACCTTAATATTCCTCTTACCATCCATACCTATTTGCCAAGGATTCCTGTGACCTTTGGCAAATTCCTTAATCTCATGATACTACTTCCTATTTGAAGATGAAGGAAACTATACTGGTCTTACAGAGCAAAGATCCCTATTATTATTAGAACTCCTGTCCCATTTACTACCAAATTGTATTTAATCAATAATTACTTGGGTTTTTTTTTTTTTTTAAAGTAGTCACATTTTTGCTTAAATTATAGACAATAACCAGTATTACGACAAAGATGACATTTGCTTTTAACTGGAGCCCTGTTTTAATTACCCAATGATTTATTACTGTGGACAAATATACAATTTGTCTCCAGAAACTCAAGGAATATCTACTTTTAATTTTAGAGATACCAAGGGCTAGGAATCACTACAGTAAACGATTTCAAGTTCCTATATGCCTGTATTTCTGGTAAGGGTACCTTCCTAAAAATAAGCACTACCATTTAAATTTCAAACTTATCTAGATTATGAATTCTGCTTGAAAAGAAAATTGGCCAGTTATTTTAAAACTTTGTTAACTCCAATAAAAAGTGATACCAAGATTTACCATTTTTTGAGAAGTCTGTGTGTTTTAAATGGGACACCTGGGTGGCTCAGTTGGTTAAGTGTCTTACTTTGGTTCAGGTCATGATCTCACGGTTTGTGAATTAGAGCTCCTTGTCCAGGTCTGCACTGACAGCTCAGAGCCTAGAGCGTGCTTCAAATTCTATGTCTCCTCTGCCCCTTCCCCCACGCACGCTCTGTTTCTCTCTCAAAAATAAACATTAAAAAAATATTCAGAAGGGGCTAAAAGGCTTAAAGGAATCTGTAGCAAAAACATTAACAAGTATCAGTCTAGTGAGAAACTGTTTAGTGCTATTTCTTTTTTTAAATTTTGCTCTAATACGTTGTTTTGTTGATATGCTTATTATTTAAAAGAAAATCAAGATTAAAATTAGAGTGGCGGCGGCGGGGGGAATGTTTTTCCAGGAAATGCAAAGTTAACTACTACTACATAGGTAGTCCCCTATTCAGGCACAAGCTCCCTAGAATCTTGTGTTGAGAGTAAAAGATCATAAAAAGTTCTAGTCATAAGAAGTTCACACTCCTTCCTATATCTGTTCCAGCTATTCTTGAGTACTGTGCAAACATGACAAATAACTGCCATCAAGCACACAAAAAGGAATCAATTTTCACACCTTTCTGCAGAAAAAGGTACCCTGATGGAAAAAGTTTCTGCCTAACTTTTAGAGACCTTGCCCACTACTAGCCTAAGCAACAGATCACGCCAGTGGCAGAGCTGGTCTATATATATCGAACCTAAACCTGTATAAAAGTTGCTGTAATTTTCCCTCTTCCATTTTATTTTCCATATAGGACTTCAACACCCTTCGTCTTCGTTCAAACATTTACTTGAAAGAAAAACTCACAGCGGTAGGTTTTGGGGGGTGTAGGTAGGCATGGAAAGGGGTGGATAAATATAACAAATAGTAACATTAAAAGGCAAAGGATGAACAAAGTAAATAGGTAACATTTTTTTCCTTTTTCCTTTCACATTTCCTCTTCCTTAATTGCAGAGGCAAATCTGTGCTAAGGAGCTGTCAGGAACTTCAAAATCAGCTTGCTATTATAAATACGCAATACTGAGTTATAACAGGTTTTTAATATAAATCTAACCTATCTAGGTTTTAAAGAAAAACAAATGTTTTATACAAGAACGCCAAATCAAGGAGCAAAGACAGTGAGGAGAAGGCACAAAAAGTCAGAAAGGAAAGGGAAAGCAAAACTCAGCTTTTCTAAGACCACATCGCCTCTCTACACGGACAGAGCTGCACCGATGCCTCACTAAGAAACCCACAACAGTCCAACGCATTTACAACCGTCCTTCTAAGCCCAAATACAAGCCTGAAGTGTAAAATGTACAAATTCATTATTTCGTATCTTCATGCAATCACACCAGACTTCACAAAGCACTTTCTGAGAAGTCAAAGTAAGCCTTTCGCAATATTCCCTTAATAATTAGAAACTGGAAGGAAGTAGATGAATTTCAGAAACAGATTAAAAAAAAAATCAAGAAATGGGGTATTTTCCTCCTTACCTGCATAAGCACGTAAGACATGTTTGCTATTTTCAACGTTAAAAAAATAAATAGTCCATAAAAAGTCCATAAAATAGAAATGCTGCAAAGTTTTTTTCTCCACAGAACTACGCATTTCTAAATTAAGTCTTCCTGCTGTATAGAAATTGATACTATGAATTCCTTCAACCTCAGAGACAGGTGTTTATATCTTTCATATTTTCTTTTAGTCTCAAGGAATATATAGCTTATTTCTCTAGAGTTAACACCTCACTCCCCATCTGTACTTTCCACCTGTCTAACTCATCCAGACATTAATACACACAGATTAGGAGCCGGAACAGTCTACCACTTATCCAAATGCTACTTACTCCCTTTCTACCCTCACCTGTTTTCCTCTTCTATCTTTTTAAAATGTTTATTTATTTTTGAAAGAAAGAGGGGGGGAGGGAGGCACAGAGAGAGGGAGACAGAGGATCCAAGCAGGCTCCGTGCTGTCAGCACAGAGCTTGGTGTGCAGCGCAAACTCAAGACCCTGAGATCATGACTTGAATGGAAGCTGGGACGCTTAACAGAGCCACCCAGGCGCCCCTCCACTTCTATTCTAAATGAGCTTCTAACTCTCTGCTTCCAGTCTCAAAATCTGAATACCCAGATGCCAAAGAAGTCTTCCTTAAGTAGTCTGTTCCACGCTGGTCCCCTATTTCACAGAATTCCCACAGCCACTAACTACTACTTATATCCACAATCAAACCCTTCGCCATTATAATACCCAGGTGCTATTACTTTGATGTTTCTGCCTCTACATGTAGGAGAATGGGGCTGTGTTTGTCTGAAATACAAGACCCACAGAATGTGAGTAATGAGCAAGCACTAACCTGGTTCTTTGAGATCATTTAAGTTGCAGACAATCTGAAACCAAACAACACAGAAGCCTCACTCCTATTCTCCACTTTCTAGGTGACTACAGCCTAGAAACAACTCAGGTCTCATCTTTAGACCTTTCTTATAGGTGTGCCATAGATATTGCTAGTAAGTACACTATGATAAAGTGATGTGAACAAACGTAGGTACTCAAATACCTATGCGATTAAAGAAAGAACTCTGACTTGATCTGGACCTTATTCTTACTAAGTTTCAAAACATGCAGAAAAATCAAATTTAATGGATGAAGATTTTAAGAAAGTGCAGAAGTCTCATTTTCCATTTGTTTCAAATCAATGTCTTCAGATTTAGTGTTGCCTGAGCAGTCAATATAGCAGACTGAAGGAGTCTAAAATTTATATAACCATCATTACTTAGAGCATGAAGAAGCTACCTTAAGGTCTGAAGAAGATGCTTAGAGAAGGCAAGGTCCACCTCTTTGTTCTCATGTCCCTTCCTCCAAACCCATATCCAAACTAAACCTAGCTAAAAAATTAAGACACATATAAAGCAGAAATGTAAGACAATGCACGCACAAGTCACTGGGGCTGACCAAAAAAAAAGCCTAAATAATTCAGAAAACCAAAAGATCAGTAAGAATTAAATCCATCCAAAGAAACCTTGTGAAAATGGTCTGTTACTAGTTAGATCCTGACAAAGGGAGAATATTTTGATAGGGAAGGTAAAGAAGGGAATGTTCGGTAGCGGCAAGAATAAAGCCCAAGCTCCTCTTATAAAGTGGAAAGTCAAGGTGGCTCACAATCTGCAGCTATATTTAAAGACTCTTGAAAGCCAGGCTAAAGAGCTTTATTTAAATTCTTTAT